CCTAGTTTTTAAGCATGGATGTTCCTTTGAACTTAGCCCCAGGTGGCCGCTACGGCCAGCATGCTGTGCCAATCCAAAGCCAGGACCCAGGTGCTTCCTCCTGGTCTCCCATGCAGGTGCAGGGCCCCAGCACTTGGGCTATCCTCCAGTGCCTTCCTGGGCCACAGCAGAGAGCTGGACTGGAAGAGGAGCAACCGGGACAGAATCCAGCACCCCAGCTGGGACTAGAACTGAGTGTGCTGGCGCCACAGGCGGAGGATTAGCCTAGTGAGCTACGGTGCTGGCCCCAAAATAAGACTTTGATGACTAAATATTATTTTCTCAGAGGGCTACCATGGAATTCATTCGACAAAGCGTCTGTTGTTGATCAGATTTGTATTTTCAATTTTTCACTATAACAAGTTTATTGGCAATCAATAGACCTATAAATGGTTTGACGATCTCTGACTATTTTCTTACAATAAATTCTCAATAAAACAAATTTTGGAGTTAAAGGGAAAGAAGGATACATTCATTCATTTTTAATTTTTGTTTAATGCTTCAGGATTCTGTGTGTGTGTGTGTTGTGTGTGGTGTTGCTAAAATATACATACCATAAAATACACCTTTTTTACCATTCTTAAGGATGCAATTTTAGGCATTAAGCACCTTCTCATTTTTGTGTTGCTTCACTATGTGTTTTCCCTGAAATTACTAAATTGAAATAGTTTAATATTTTCATGGATGAGACCTGAAGCTTTGCTTACACTAAATTAGCAGATTTTCTCTAGGGTTTCCCAGTGTGTTGTGAAGAAAAAGAATTTTGTTTGTGAGGTTTTGTTAAGGAACTTGGAGCATATGTAGATATTGGGCTCAGAAAGAGAAAAATTGGAATTTATGGAAACATTTGTATACATTTTTCTCAAGCGAACACCCCCTCCCCCCATTTAGCTTAATACAATGTTTCAGAAACTGAATGTCTTTTATTATAATGTGGGAGTCTCATTTAATCATGTTATTCCTAACAATGGGTAAGCAAAAATGTATAGAAATTAATGAAACAGGGCCGGTGCTGCGGCTCACTAGGCTAATCCTCTGCCTTGCGGTGCCGGCACACCAGGTTCTAGTCCCAGTCGGGGCGCCGGATTCTGTCCCGGTTGCCCCTCTTCCAGGCCAGCTCTCAGCTGTGGCCAGGGAGTACAGTGGAGGATGGCCCAAGTGCTTGGGCCCTGCACCCCATGGGAGACCAGGAGAAGCACCTGGCTCCTGCCATCAGATCAGCGCAGTGCGCCAGCCGTGGCGGCCATTGGAGGGTGAACCAACGGCAAAGGAAGACCTTTCTCTCTGTCTCTGTCTCTCTCTGTCCATTCTGCCTGTAAAAATAATTAAACAATTTAAAAAACTTTTAAAAATTTGGTCATTTTCTTTGGCACTTTGAAACTGTGTCTGAGATTAGAAATCAGCTCTCCTTACAGTTGTGAATTTAGATATAAATTACCTTTAATATGAATTCTGTTAATTTGAAATGAGAACATGCTCTTAGATTAATGTCATATTATTTTAACAAGAAGAGCAAAACATTCGCTCTTTACTTTGCTAGTTCATCAGCTTTCTTTTGACTCTAGTGATTAAATCCTTTATAATATATTGGTTGATTTAGGAAGACACTAACTCTAAGATCAGCAGTATTATCTGCACTTGTTCAGGGACCATATACTCCCAATTTGACTTACTTGTTTTATTACTTAACTTACTGAATATGATTTCTTCTTAGGAAATGATAATTTGTAAACTTAAACATAGAATTTTAGGAAATAGAAGGCATGAAGCTCAATATCTGACTAATTATCCTGGCTTCACTAGCATGTGCGATCCAACTTTACTTGAAGGAACAGGGTATTATCCTATGGTATTCACCCCAGGAGACTGAAGCATTTTGTTGTAAGCTGCTCTAAATGAAACCTGGGGAAGGGTGGGAATTGGTACTTTAGCCTCTTGCCTTTATTCTGGAGGGAGGAAAGTTGGCTCTGAAAAAAACTGAAAATCCGCATACTTTATAAAAATCTCCCGGGCATAGTCATTGGAGTCAATTCAATCATCTAATGGTCGAGAAACCAACAAGAGCACATCTGAACTGATAACAAACCTGTTCTTTTCTTGGAAATTGCCACAAGTACCTGGCTTCCCAGAGTTATATAGCTGGAATTAATTTGTTCTCATTCTATCTTCTATAACATTTATTAATAAGGAAGATATACAAGCTACAGTTCAAGTTTTGTTTTCAGTCTCTGCCGCTTCCTCACCACAAATCTACGATCTTCTTGAGGGAAATGCAGGTGTGGGGCTTCAGGCCTCTTACAAAGGGCCTGCGGCAGAAAAGCAGCTCAAGGGAGGATTGGGGTCTTCCACCGCCCTGTCCCATTGAAACATCACATCCCCCTTCTCCAGGTTCACCAGAGCCTGTGCATCTCCTGGTCACTGAATGAACGGCACGTTCGCTCTCTAATACATTTTCTTTTTTTAATGGAAGAACTAGAGATGTATCCAAGTTCTGAATTTGAATATATGTATCAGCTTTATTCATTAGCAGACAAGCTAACTATTGTTCACACAGGCTCTGGTCAAATTTTTAGCTTATTAGGGGGAGTTGCAATACATTTTGAGTTTTGTCTTTTGTTAATTAAAATCTTGAGAAACATGTGCTTTTCACTGGTTCCAAGTTTTAAGGCTCTATGGGGTAAATTTTATAATCATGAAGGAATTGAAAGTCAGAGCAAGAGATAAGTATTATGATGCAGATGGATTCTTTCTTAGGTGAGATAGAGAACATTTATATCCTGAAGGCTTATCTTACTAGGAACAAAAGTCTTGATTTAAGGAGATATCATCACAAATAGGAGAGGCTTAATAATAAAAAGCTAATCTGACAGCAGTGTTTTGTTCTTGTCAGTACACAGTAGCTCAAGTTGAGAGCACAGTGTGGAGAGGCCTAGTGCAAGAGGATGCATAGGGCATTGGAATATACATACATTTAGGAAAGCACTAGTTCCCCACTTAAGGCACAATTCCAGGTGTTATAACTCTGCTGACAATAATTCCATGTGGAACGTGATCTACTTAGGTAAAAGCAGTTTTTAATGTGAAAGTTCTCATTAGCTTAAAAAGCAAGTCAAATGGTTAGCTTTTAAAAACTGAGTCATAGTCTAATTTAACATCACAATTCACGCTTTTCCTCTTTATTTTAATGGCTAGATTGATCCTATTTCAGCAGCACCTACCTTGATGCTGTGGAAAATACACACAGACATCTGATATTTCTGAGCATGTAGGTTGTAACAAATTTAAATGTGTTCTAAGAGAGCATCTGGATATAAACAGCTAAAGATTTATAGTGTTCTTTAACTTAAAGATGAGGAAAATGACCAGTATGGGGAAATTAAAAATAACAATTCTCTGGAAAAGCAAGAGCTAAATTGTTAAATGCCAGGGCACCAAGAAGCAGTACTCTGTAATCCAAATTGGGTAATTTATATCTTTGTCACTTGAAAATCTGATATATGGTTGACTCAATGAATCACCCCACCAACATTCCATAACTAAAACAAATTTTGTTTCTTTTTCACAGGCAGAATTTAGTCAATTGAATAATAAATCATCCTGTCTTTCCAGAATTATGGTTAGGGAGGCTCACACAGGCAGGGCCAATTAAATGATGCCTTCTAGAAAGGATCTACCCTGCTTTGAAAGAATGCCTGTGAAGAATATGGCTCCTGCAACTTTGGTTATACTTTTCAGTGTTTCATATGGCTGTTTTAAAAATATTTTAAATTTATCAATGAAGATTTGTCTTCAATATTCAGATGGCAGGAATGAATTAACTTTTTGATTACCCCCGAAATCTTGGTCACTGCCTACAGGTGGTCCTGTAGTGGATATCTAAGGAAATGATCCCCTTCTCTTAGAAAGAATGAGCTTCCGAGCACTTACAGTTTACAAAGAGTAGCCAAGCACATTTTCTCTTTTGAGTGTCACTATTATGCTATAATATATGCATTGTCTTTAAAAAGTATGTGGAAACATATATTATGAAAAATTTATGCATGGATTTCAAAAATATTGCACAAAGATAAACTTTTTATTTGAGTCCTTGAATCTTATGAAATACTCTCTTATATAAAGGCTATTAATTCCTAGCTGAAAAGCAGAAATTAAGATTCAGAGAGGTTAAGTGACTTACCCAAATTCATGCATTTAATGAGTGGAATAATCATAATTAATTTCAGACTAGTTATTTTTGCCCTAAGGGCAATACCCTCGGCATGTGCACTGCTGCCTTTTTTGTTGCACTCATAAAATGCATGCCTTAAATGTGCATTAATATACTTTTGGAAGACTTATTCCTGGGAGAATTCATGACTTGATGATATGGTCAGAGCATTATTAAGTTGATCATTTGGCCTGAGCAGAGGAAAGTATTAAGAAATATCCAGTTTTAAATGACATCAGTGATGTTCAATGTAAATGAATTTGCGGTTATAGGCATAGTGGATAGTTCAGGATTAAGATAAAATCTGTCACCTTATAATTATGAGTTTTCAGAGACTGGATCCATTTTAAGAAGAACAATAGTTGAGAAGACCCAGATGCATTCAAGAAGGAAACAACAATAAATAATTAACCTGCTTGAGATCCACTATTTGAACAGATGAATTTTGATGTCCTGTTGGTTGAGGTTATTTAGATATCTGCTTCAATGAACAAGCAAGAGAGATTTAAAATCAACCCAATATCTGATTTTATTTCAAAGGACACATGGGCATTTGAAAAATAAGACTTTTTTTTCTGAACCTAGTTTCAATTGTCTTAGCAATTTCTTTTCTGAACCAGTGACAAGATAAATTTTAGGGTAGTCTCTTCAAATAATCATAATCTCTGAGTGAAGTGCGAGAAATTCATTGAGTATTACTCTAGCTATCTGTTTTAGAAAGGGAATCAATTCATCCTTTTCAATTATTTTACAGGATCCTTCGAACCAAAAATGTGGTGGAAGAAAGAAAACTGTGTCCTTCAGCAGCATGCCATCAGAAAAGAAGATTAGCAGTGCAAACGACTGCATCAGCTTCATGCAAGCTGGCTGTGAACTGAAGAAAGTCAGGCCAAATTCTCGCATCTACAACCGTTTTTTCACTCTGGACACAGACCTCCAAGCCCTTCGCTGGGAGCCTTCTAAGAAAGACTTGGAGAAAGCTAAGCTTGATATTTCTGCCATAAAAGAGATCAGACTGGGGAAGAACACGGAAACATTCAGAAACAATGGCCTTGCTGACCAGATTTGTGAGGACTGTGCCTTTTCCATACTCCATGGGGAAAACTATGAGTCTCTGGACTTAGTTGCCAATTCAGCAGATGTAGCAAATATCTGGGTGTCTGGGTTACGGTACCTGGTTTCTAGAAGTAAGCAACCCCTTGACTTTATAGAGGGTAACCAGAACACACCAAGGTTTATGTGGTTGAAAACAGTGTTTGAAGCAGCAGATGTTGATGGGAATGGGATTATGTTGGAAGACACCTCTGTAGAGTTAATAAAACAACTCAACCCTACCCTGAAGGAATCCAAGATCAGGTTAAAGTTTAAAGAGATCCAGAAGAGCAAAGAAAAACTAACTACTCGTGTGACAGAAGAGGAATTTTGTGAAGCTTTTTGTGAACTTTGCACCAGGCCAGAAGTGTATTTCTTACTTGTACAGATATCTAAGAACAAAGAATATTTGGATGCCAATGACCTTATGCTCTTTCTAGAAGCTGAGCAAGGAGTCAGTCATATCACTGAGGATATGTGCTTAGACATCATCAGGCGATATGAGCTTTCTGAAGAGGGACGTCAAAAAGGGTTTCTTGCAATAGATGGATTTACCCAGTATTTATTGTCACCAGAATGTGATATTTTTGATCCTGAGCAAAAGAAAGTTTCTCAAGATATGACCCAGCCATTATCTCACTACTATATCAATGCCTCTCATAATACCTATCTAATAGAGGACCAGTTCAGGGGACCAGCTGATATCAATGGATATGTCAGAGCTTTGAAAATGGGCTGTCGAAGCATTGAACTTGATGTAAGTGATGGTTCCGAAAATGAACCAATTCTTTGTAATCGAAATAACATGGCAGCACATCTTTCCTTTCGAAGTGTCATAGAGGTGATAAATAAGTTTGCTTTTGTTGCTTCTGAATACCCACTTATTCTTTGCTTGGGAAATCACTGTTCCCTATCACAGCAGAAGGTGATGGCTCAACAGATGAAAAAAGTCTTTGGTGATAAACTGTATGGTGAAGCACCTTTGCCCTCAGAATCCTACCTCCCCTCACCAGAAAAATTAAAACGAATGATCATTGTGAAAGGAAAGAAATTGCCTTCTGATTCAGATATGTTAGAAGGAGAAGTAACGGATGAGGATGAAGAAGCTGAAATGTCTCGAAGGATGTCAGTAGATTACAATGGTGAGCAGAAACAAATCTGGCTCTGCAGGGAGCTCTCTGATTTGGTATCTATTTGTAAATCTGTTCAGTACAGGGATTTTGAACTGTCTATGAAAAGCCAAAACTATTGGGAAATCTGTTCATTTAGTGAAACAGAGGCTAGCCGAATTGCAAATGAATACCCAGAGGATTTTGTAAATTATAATAAGAAATTCTTATCAAGAGTCTATCCAAGCGCCATGAGGATTGATTCCAGTAACTTGAATCCACAGGACTTTTGGAATTGTGGCTGTCAGATTGTGGCCATGAATTTTCAGACTCCGGGTCCGATGATGGACCTTCACACTGGCTGGTTTCTTCAGAACGGAGGATGTGGTTATGTTCTGAGGCCGTCTATCATGCGGGATGAAGTTTCTTACTTCAGTGCAAACACAAAGGGCATTGTACCTGGGGTGTCTCCTCTGGCTCTCCACATCAAGATCATCAGTGGTCAGAATTTCCCAAAACCTAAGGGAGCTTGTGCCAAAGGGGATGTGATAGATCCGTATGTTTGTGTAGAGATACATGGGATTCCAGCAGACTGCTCAGAACAAAGAACTAAAACTGTACAACAGAACAGTGATAATCCTATTTTTGATGAAACTTTTGAGTTTCAAGTAAACCTACCTGAGCTGGCCATGATCCGTTTTGTTGTTTTGGATGATGACTACATTGGGGATGAGTTCATAGGGCAATATACAATACCGTTTGAATGTCTGCAGCCTGGATATCGGCATGTTCCCCTGCGCTCTTTTGTGGGTGACGTCATGGAGCATGTAACCCTCTTTGTCCACATAGCAATAACTAATCGAAGTGGAGGAGGAAAGGCACAGAAGCGCAGCCTTTCAGTGAGAATGGGGAAGAAAGTTCGGGAATATACCATGCTCAGGAATATTGGTCTTAAAACTGTAGATGACATCTTTAAAATAGCAGTTCATCCCTTACGAGAAGCCATAGACATGAGAGAAAATATGCAGGTAGGAAAAATCTCCCACATTCTTTCTCTGTTTATCCCTAACCTTCTTTTGCCAGTAAATAACATGTTTAATTAATGGTATGATTTGTAAAAAATTATTAAAAGGTTGTGTAAACCTGTGTGTACCAGTGAACTAAGTGCAGAATGGCCTGTGATAATGGCCTGTGATAATGCTATGTCAAGTTTGGCCAGAACTAAGTCAAAGATGTCAATGCTACAAAATGCCATTAGGTACATTAAATAACCTTAGTACATAACTGCATTGACATATGGGCATGTGCATATGAAACAATAAGAAAAAGAACATAAAAGATCATGTGTTTCATATGTAAACTATTATATATTTATGTACTAATATACACTAATTGTAAGTATATATGTAAAATATATGCAGGTATAATTGTGGAAGAGAATGTGAAGACACAAATGTAGTACCTGTTAGGTTATTTGAGCTGTTTGAATATATAACATTGACAATCATAAGTGACTCCTCACAAGCACAATCAAAACTAAAAAAGCAGTTTGTCACTTAAACTTGTTGAAAATTAGCCTTTTATTATACATGTGGTTTAGTTGAAAGAACATGGATTCTGTATTAAATCTATCCCTGTGTGATCTTAAATAGCTTATTTCAGGTCTCTGATCATCAATGTTCTCTGCAAAAGGTAAGAAAAATAGTAATACTTTTATTATAGGATTATTATAAGAATTAAATAAAAGTATATAAATTTGCATAGCCTCACCATGTAGAAACTCTTTGTTTCATAAATGCTTATAATCAGGGATAGTTGCAAACTCTTTTCCAGAACTATTTAATATATTTATTCTAGGCTGGTGTTTTTGAGAAGCAATCAAACCAAACTTTTAGCAAGAACCTACAATGCACAAAGTGAATATCATTCAACACAATTAGTTTTATTCCTTTAGCTAAAATTGTTAAATAACATTCACCAAAATCCCTATTTTCAAGGTAGAATGTAAATTCTAAGAAATTAAGCACTTTTCTACATATTACAGTTGGTATTGTATATTACAATTGGTATTACAAATGGTATTGTACATAAGTAACTTAGATTGTAAGTATTTAACTTGAAGTAGGTTGCCTAAGCCTTCATTTTAAAAATAGGCTCCAAGTATCAGTGTCTTCTTTGTGAGTTTTTCCTGATATAATTCTAGTACCATTGTAAGTCCTTAGATTAGTTATAAATCATTTCTTATATCTAATTTTATATATTAGAAATATATTTTATATAAATCTTGACTATATCATTTCCATCTTCCATATTATTAAATATTCACTAATTCCATATTATTTAAATTTAAAGTTTTTCTTAGTATTTCTTTTCTTTTTTTTTTTTTACAGGCAGAGTAGATAGTGAGAGAGAGAGACAGAGAGAAAGGTCTTCCTTTACCATTGGTTCACCCTCCAATGGCCACCATGGCCGGTGCACTGTGCTGATCCGAAGGCAGGAGCCAGGTGCCTCTCCTGGTCTCCCATGGGGTGCAGGGCCCAAGCACTTGGGCCATCCTCCACTGCCTTCCCAGACCACAGCAGAAAGCTGGCCTGGAAGAGGGGTAACTGGGACAGAATCCGGCGCCCCAACCGGGACTAGAACCCGGTGTGCCGGCGCCGCAAGGCGGAGGATTAGCCTATTGAGCCGCGGCACCGGCCTTTTCTTAGTATTTCTAATAATTTATATTATCTTAAAGTATTTTGAGTTAAGGATTATTTATAGCCTAATAGTGGAAAAATGAATGCGATCATTATAACTAAGCTTATGAGACACAGATCAGGTATTGTTCACTGTTAATAAAATGTAAAATAGCTATAATTCCTATTTCAAATGAATTTTTTACAAAGATGGATAAATGTAGCTCTAAGTGAAATGGGTTTTGGGTGTGTGAGTCTGTGTCTGTCAGGTACATTTCTGATAGAATCACAAAGGAACAGCTTTCACGGTAGTGAGCTAAATAGCAGCCTGCTATTTGGGAAAAACCTAAAAAAGATGCTGTCCAATGCACAGTCACTGATTTTCATGATACAAATCAAATAAGATGTTCACAGCCAGCCAGTGCTAGTTTACGTGAACATTCCTGTGCTGTGCTTTGGAAAGCACTCTGTACTTTTTTGCTTTTGTGGCATATTTGTGGTAACTGCTAAAAGTGGAGAAAGATAAGGGATGCATAATGTGAATTAGCTCACTGTGTTATCTCTGTTCATATTGCAACATTTTCAGCCGGTTGTTACCCAGTTTAGTCCAAATTATAAATGTCTCTAAGGTATACTTTTGATGTAAACCTGGAGCTATACTTTTGTGTAAACCCATAAGTGCTGTGGGTGACGTATCCCGTGATCAGAAATGTGATTCTGTTTTCTTCCTCATAGAACGCGATAGTGTCCATTAAGGAGCTGTGTGGACTCCCTCCAATTGCCAGTCTGAAGCAGTGCCTGTTGACGCTGTCCTCTCGGCTCATCACCAGCGATAACACTCCCTCGGTTTGTCTTGTGATGAAAGAGAGCTTTCCTTACCTGGAGCCACTGGGTGCAATTCCAGAAGTACAGAAAAAGATGCTTGCTGCTTATGATCTGGTAGGAAGTTGGTGCTCCATGTTTCTCATCTGTGTGTACAGGAGATCACTAATGACAGGGGACCTTTTGTGGAGCTCCAATGCATAATAGAATGATGGCCTTTGAAACATGGATGGAAAGGTAGCAGGCACAGCCAGGTGCAATCAGCTTCCACTAAGTCCTAGAGAGACCTCTGAGGCAGTGCCTTGAATCCAGAGCTCCACAGATTACAAGTGGAAAATGCCTGCTTTAGCAAAGCTTGATTTTTGAGCACATCCTCAAAAGTATTTACACTTTCATCATCTGAATGGCTTTAGACTGCGATGTAACCATTTTAACTGTATGCCAATAGGAAGTCAGTTTCAGTGCTGCCTTATGGTAATTGAGACACAAGATAGCTCTGGAATCTAGATTCCAAAGATAATCCGGTTAACCATTTTTCCTGAATATATAGAATTTAAATGACTTATTCCTTTGAACAAAATAGTGAAAGATACCCTCCCCCTCACACACAGATCTTCCATTCTCTGGCTCACTCCCCAAATGAGTACAACAGAGGAATATGGGCCAGGCCAAAGCCAGGAGCTCTGTGGTCTTCTGTGTGGGTGGCAGGGACGCAAGTACTTGGGTCATCATTCACTGTTTTCCCAAGCACATTAGCAGGAAGCTGGATTAGAAAGGGACCAGCTGGAATTTAAGCTGGTACCTGTACATGGGATGCTGACATCACAAGCAGTGGCTTAACATCCTGAGCCATGCCACCATCCCCTATTTCTGTAAAAAAAATTATGGAGCAAATGACAGTCTGGGAAAAATTTGAAACCTGTATGCCAAAGTGTAAATACAAGTACAAGTATACTTATAATAGAACCCTATTGAATGCATAAAATATGTTCTCTTTATATTCATAATTTAAAAAAATAAAACTCTTAAAATCAGTAAGAGACAAAAGATGGTGAAAATAACTGATACCAATCAAGAATAAGTTTGGTTACATGCAACAACGAAAAAATACAACCTAATTGTGCTTAAACACTTGAAGTGTTACTTTTTCACATAAGAAATCTGGAGCTCAGCCCTCCAGATTTATATTTCTGCAAAGCTCTTAGGAACATCATGCTACATTGAGTTTTTTGTTTCACCTCTTAACCTCCTGGTCCAAAATGGCAGCTGACACTGAAAACATGTTCTTTTCTGCCATCAGAAATGATGGGGGAGAGGGGAGTGGGAAGGAGGACATATACTCTTCCTTTATTTTTGTTTTTAAAGATTTACTTATTTATTTGAAAGGCAGAGTTACAGAGAGGGAGAGGGAGAGGGAGAAAGAGAGGGAGAAAGAGATCATCTATCTGCTGGTTTACTCCCTAGATGGCCGCAGTAGCCGGAGCTGGGCTGATCCGAAGCCAGGAGCCTGGAACTTCTTCTGGGTCTCCCATGTGGGTGCAGGGGCCCAAGGACTTGAGCCATCCTCTACTGCTTTCCCAGGCCATAGCAGAGAGCTGGATTGGAAACTGAGCAACTGGGACTCGAACTGCTGCCCATGTGAGATGCCAGTGAGACAGGCATCAGTTTTACTCCCATGCCAAAGCGCAGGCCCCATATACTCTGCCTTTAAGAACATCTCTCTAACATGCCAGGGGAGTCCAATTCAATCCCATCAAGGTGGCATGTACCAATGCCATCTTACTTGTTAAAGTGATCAGTTTCAGTTCATAATTGATCAAAAAGATAGGATTAAGTGTCAAAGGGATCACATAAATAAGACCAGTGTCTGCAAATAATTGATAGAATTAAAAAGGATACAACAATCCAACATGGGAAGCAGGATACACACCAGACTCATAGAATGGCAAAAACCCTAAACAGTACTCTGGCCTCAGAATCAGCTCCTAAGGCATTCAGATCTGGCTAAAAAGCCCACGAGAGTATTTCAGGCATGGAAAGCTAAGATACTGTGGCAAAAAAATGACCTAAATGAAAGATCTCTGTGAGTGAGATCTCACGGAAAGAACGGGCCATCAAAGAAGTCAGTACCTTTCTCTGAAGGGAGGAGAGAACTTCCACTTTGACTATGGCCTTGTCTAAATAAGATTGGAGTTGGTGAACTCAACAGGCTTCCATAGCTTTGGCAGCTCATGACAAGAGTCTCGGTTGCTCACTGACTTCATAAATAAAAGTGTCAATTGTTAAATCAACAACAGGAGTCACTGTGCACCTGCCCCCCATGTAGGCCCTCTGTCCTTAATGTGTTGTACTATGAGAATTAATGGTAAAACTACTACTCCACCACTACTGTATACATTGTGTGTCTGTGTGGGTGCAGTCTGTTGAAATCTTTACTTAGTATATACTAAGTTGATCTTCTGTATATAAAGATAATTGAAAATGAATCATGATGAAGACTGGGATGGGAGAGGGAGCGGGAGATGGGTTGGTTGCAAGTGGGAGGGAGGTTCTAGAGGGAGAAGCTGCTATAATTCAAAAGTTGTACTTTGGAATTTTTTATTTATTTAATAAAAGTTGAAAAGAAAGAAAAGAACATTTCTCTGAAATAGTATAGATCACTTTTGCTTAGATTTCATCAGCCTGGAGTTGATGCATAGTCACACTGATTTGCAAAAGCAAATGTCATTTCATGGGGCTAGAATTTATCTCTTCTGTTACTAAGAGACAGGAGAATGGCCGGCGCCGCGGCTCACTAGGCTAATCCTCCGCCTAGCGGCGCCGGCACACCGGGTTCTAGTCCCGGTCGGGGCGCCGGATTCTGTCCCGGTTGCCCCTCTTCCAGGCCAGCCCTCTGCTGTGGCCAGGGAGTGCAGCGGAGGATGGCCCAGGTGCTTGGGCCCTGCACCCCATGGGAGACCAGGAAAAGCACCTGGCTCCTGGCTCCTGCCATCGGATCAGCGCGGTGCGCCGGCCGTAGCGCGCCGGCTGCGGCGGCCATTGGAGGGTGAACCAACGGCAAAAGGAAGACCTTTCTCTCTGTCTCTCTCTCTCTCACTGTCCACTCTGCCTGTCCAAAAAAAAAAAAAAAAAAAAAAAAGAGACAGGAGAATGGATAGTAGAGGATGAGAAGTAGTCTGCTATGTAAGTTATTAGGCCATGAACCTAATTATATATGTGTTCTCCTTCCCCTCAAAAAAAACCTAAAGAAAATTTAAAAATATATTTATTTATTTTTAACAAGTTCATCATTTAATAAGTCTGAATTTGTTTTATAGAAATATATTTAACTTTAAATAAGTTTTTAATTATAGAAAATTAATGAAGTGTACTAATATACACTCCTTTCTGTCAAACTGGCTTTTTTTCTTTTTCAACATAGTAAAACCAATCAAGAATTTGAAGAACTGGAAAGCATTCCATATACCACTAGTAGGAAAACAAAGTTTTTGGAGAAAAATTTGGCAATATAATTTAACTTGCTTACTAATTTTTTCCATATATTTTATTTTCTTGAAATTATTCTAAGCTAATAAACATTGTGCATAAGTTAATAATTAAGTGCATAAACATTTATATGTAATAATGTCAATGTAGAATGGTTAGTAGAGTAGAAGATCACAATCCATATTATGGACTCTGCAGAAGTTATTAAATCATCTTAGAATATTTAGTGTAACATAGGATTCCTCATAATATATTTGGAAAAAAATATGGTTACAAAAAGTGTGCACAGGACCGGCGCCGCAGCTCACTAGGCTAATCCTCCGCCTTGCGGCGCCAGCACACCGGGTTCTAATCCCGGTCTGGGCGCTGGATTCTGTCCCGGTTGCCCCTCTTCCAGGCCAGCTCTCTGCTATGGCCTGGGAGTGCAGTGGAGGATGGCCCAAGTACTTGGGCCCTGCACCCCATAGGAGACCAGGAGAAGTACCTGGCTTCTGCCATTGGATCAGCGCGGTGCGCCGGCCGTGGCGGCCATTGGAGGGTGAACCAACGGCAAAGGAAGACCTTTCTCTCTGTCTCTCTCTCTCTCACTGTCCACTCTGCCTGTCAAAAAAAAAAAAAAAAAGTGTGCACAATAGGCCAGTGCCGCGGCTCACTAGGCTAATCCTCCGCCTGCGGTGCCGGTACCCCAGGTTCTAGTCCCAGTTGGGGCCCCGGATTCTGTCCAGGTTGCTCCTCTTCCAGTCCAGCTCTCTGCTGTGGCCCGGGAGTGCAGTGGAGGATGGCCCAAGTGCTTGGGCCCTGCACCCCATGGGAGACCGGGAGGAAGCAGCTTGCTCCTAGCTTTGGATTGGTGCAGCGTGCTGGCCTTAGTGGCCATTTGGGGCGGTGAACCAAGGGAAGGAAGACCTTTCCCTTTTCTCTGTCTTTCTCTCTCTCACTGTCTAACTCTGCCTGTTAAATAAAAAAAGTGTACACAATAGGATTTAAATATTATATGTCTGTGCATCTAAAATACTGGCAGATTATTATTAATACTGGTTCTTTGTAATTAGGAAAACCAATTTTATTTTTTTTTGCTTATGCTTTTCTATATTTGCCAAATTCTTTATAATGAGCCTATTTTTATAATTGATAAAAATAAATATTAAGAAAGGAATATTATTTGATAATTGAAAACAACTAGAAGAAAACATTTGAGATAAACAGCTTACAAAAGAAAAAAAGAAAAATCCACAGAGCCCATTCCATTCATGAATAGTTGTACCTGTCGTAAACTGTACTTCATGGTTGCTGGGGGGAAAGTTCAGTTATTACCTGTATCTCATTTTTCATGAAATCAGTTTTTTTTCATCATAAAGTGAGGATTGAAAACTATCTAGTGAATAGTATAATTGTCATAGAAGAGGTGTAATTAGAGTATTAGTTGCCATAGAGACAGGTAGCAGAAATTACTTACTCCTCCTCTTCCCTTGTAAGTTAAGAAAGAAAAATCATTCACTGAGGGGAACCAGGTCTCCTGGAGCTGGGCCTGTAATAAGCAGAAATGCACCTGGACTGTGGTTGGGCAATTTCCATTTCATATTCCCAAGTGTCTGATGATGTTTATTCAGTTTTGTCTGCTGAAGCCAAAT